AACTGTCTGGCCAGACAGCCAGGAAGGGAAGTGGGAGGCAGCTGGGTTCCTGGTTCTCAGATTTGCAGATCCTCAGGGACCCTTCATTCAGCTGTAGAACCTGTGGCCAAAGACTGATCCTCTCGGAACCTTAGTGCACACATCTATGACAGGAGGTGGCCCAGCAGCTGTTCAATGTCAGCCCCTGCACTGAGACTTCACCCAGGACCACTCCCAGGCAGAASAACATCCCATCACTCACAGCACTTGGGAGTCCCCAGAATTCAGGGACAGCCTTGCTCACTGCCCATGGGGGAAGACAGGGTTCCCAGGGTGTCATGACACAGACTTGGTGGCCACAAATCTCCTCCTTACTTCCTCAGTGAGTCCAACTCTCTTGTTGTTTTCTTTCTGAACAGACTCTCTTCTTTTAAGTACATCCACAAACACACACACACACACACACACACACACACACACACACATATCCTAAGAAAAAGTCAGGACAGTCAAGGGGGAAGCCCTTGACAGAATGTTCAGGAAGGAAAATGTCACAATCTAATCCTTTCCGTATGAACTTAGCAGATTATGGGGCAACAGTGCCAAGAGCCAGGGTCTAGAGCTAGAGGCCCTGAGCGTGAGGCCCACTTCCTCTTCCCACAACTGTGAGGCTTTGAACCAGTTACTGCCTCATTTAGAGTCCCAAATGTTGAAYAGATAAATGAGATTAATGCCTGCCTAGTTTATCTCATTTTATTGTAGTGAGAAATAAATCAGATAAGACACATAAAATGCTKTTTGCTTATCCAACAAGAGATCAAAAAGCATACATGTTGAAAGTGTCATCCCTTTTCAAGATGAATAAAATTACCCTGCAGATTGTGTGTGTGTGTGTATGTGTGTGTGTGCGCACATAAATTTCAAAGCTTTAGAAATTAATGCAAATTTTTTCTTCCTTAAAATTTCAGAGCTTCCTGGGCTTGATGTTGTTTCTGGAATTTTGCCATTAAAACAAATGTGAACCATGTAGAAAGTCCTTTTTAGGACAACTGTGAACATAACATGAGCTCAAGTCCATTATCCAGAAACCATATCCCATCCAGCATTCCACAGAACAGCACCTAAAGCAATGTTCAGGTTTGGCTGGGTGTGGTGGCACAAGCCTGTGATCCCAGAACTCAGGAGGCTGAGGCAGGARAATCACAAGTTTGAGGCCAGCCTCGGCATCTTAGCGAGACTCTCAGTCACCTAGCAAGACCATGTCTCAAAATAAAAAGTTAAAAGGGTTGGGGACATGCTCAGTGGTAGACCACCCCTGGGTTCAGGTCCCAATAGCAAACCAAAATAAATAAATAAAACATTCTATTGATGAGGCATCATTAGGAAGTGGGAAGCTCCTGTTGGGCCCTTGCTTCAGATTTGAACTTTTGCTTCCTCTCTTTGTCTCCTTCTCTCCCAGTCGCACTCTCCTGTGAGGAGAAGTTAGACGAGGCTTTTTCTATTTACAAGGCCTATGGCTGGGGAATTGCATCGGGGTCATGATGTGAGGACGAAGCCTAGAGTCCACCCAACCCCTGCGCTTGCCACCTCCAGGTCAGCAAGAAGCCAGGCTCTGGAGAGGAGGGGATTGCCCCATTAACTCTCCTTGTGGTCACCTCGTGGAACACAGGCGCTGGAGCCACAGATGCGGTGACGCAGGCCAGGGCCACAGGTGGCATATGGAGGAGGCTCACTGAGCTGAAGGACCCCACGTACAAGTGCGAACCCYGACCTGACGTGCGGGCACCTCCCCTGGCCGGCACCGGCAGGGCAGGCACCATGGCTGTGGCTCCCGACTCTCTSGCTCAGCACAGATCCGCTGGTCCCYGACTCTGGTTCCGAGCTTCCCCAGGGGGCTTCGGACTGTGTGAGGGGAAGCAGCCTGGGCCTGTCCCTGAAGGCCAACTGCACGGCTGATTGACAACAGCAAGTGTGTGCATGTGTGGTGCAGGAACGYAGGTTGTGAGCAGAGTGCCCAAAGAGACAGCCTTTTGGTCCAGGAGCTCAGAGACAGTGTCCTGGAAACTCCATGGCGAAGCCCTCTCTGAGGGAGGAGGAGAGCAGTGGTCTCAGGTGGGGAAAGACATCAACAAAGCCGTGGGATGGCAGGTGTCTGTCAGGCTGGCAGGACGGAGACGGGCCAGTGGCGAAGGAGGCCAGGTGGCCAGGTCTCACAGGGGCCATTTGCTTGGAAGCAATTAAAGAGTTTTAAGATGGAGACGGGGTGGCAGCATGCAGCATCACTTCTGCTTTCAAATGATCTGTCTGCAGAGAGAAAAACTGAGCCTTTGTTTTGGGATCATGTTTAGCCCTTGACCAGAAACCCACTGGGTGTCAGACGCTGGCCAGACCTTTACACAGATCCTCTCAGGGAAAGTGCAGGGCGGGGACATTTCCCCTCTGTTGGAAAACAGAGCACCAAGGCACAGAGGGTGAGACCAGCCCCAGTCAACACGCAGCTGGGACTCCACTGGCCAGAACCGCTGGGTGATTCTGGGAAGGACTGTGTCCACATGCATCGCAGCCCTGGTCTGTAAGAGGTGCTATGTACCACTGACCTATAGGTTTGTTACCTAAATTGATAGAAAAATGTATATGATTAACGCAAGATGTGTATGGAGCAATGGGCATAAAAGGACCAGAGAACCGTTAAGGTCAAGGACACTAGAAGGTCAAGGACACAGGTTGGATTTTCAGGTCAGAGGTTTCATCTTCCTGGGACCACTGAGGCACCACTGAGCAGGACAAAGCCCAACTCCGCACCTGTGTGCCACTGTGGCTGCCAGTCCCTCCCCTGCCCTTTCCCAAGGCTTCCAGGCTGGGTCTGGAGGGAGATGTAACCACTCACTCTGTCCTCTGCACCACAGGGAAGGACCCCATCCGAACGTAGGAACTCTGTGCTCCGTTCTCTCTCCTCCCCAAGATTTCCTTCACACTGAACAAGTCCATCAGGTCAAAACCTGTGCAAAGAGAAGAAATGGAAGTGAGCTCCACACAGGGAGACTGTGAGGGGCAAGGAAGGCACAGTGCTCTCTGGCCTGCCACCCTGCCAGAGGACAGAGGTGCTGCAAGAAAGGACGTCCAGGGAAAACAGGGCCAGCCCGACAGAGGGCTCCAACACCCATCCCAGCAAGAAGTGCAGGGGATGCAGCTGCTGTGCTCCCACAGGACATCCCGGATCACAACCAAGCATAGGACAAATGGGAGGCGGCTGGTGTCTCCTGCCGCCAGGCCTGGCTGCTGCAGAAGCCCTGAGCACGTGCTGGCTCCACAGCAAACCCTCAATTGAAGGGCTTTCCTTCCTGCTGCTACAATTTTTGTTTTGATTATAGTTTGGTAGCATTTAAGTTTCCCGACTTAAAGGTATATCCCAGAGAAGACATTCTTCAGGATCTTGCACGACTGAAAGGTGCTTTTGTTGGGTTTGTTTCCCCACATAGAGGCCCTGAGAATCACTGTCAATGTCAAGTGATGTGACAAGCAGGGCCTGGGCTGGGGTGAGGGATGGGGTGTAACCTGCCCAGGCCCACATCTGCATCTGTGCGAGGCTGGCAGGCCCCGTCCCAGCAGGAGCCTCCAGCCCTTGCTTGTAGAAGGAAGGCCACCGCGTCCACCAGACAGGGCTGCTGTGACAACTGGATAAGGTCCTGCACACACTCAGCAGACAGCCGGAAGTCCACAGAGCCAGAGGGACCAGACGCCGTCCACCACAGCACATCCCCAGCCACATCTCCCTAGGGTGGGATGCTTTACCAAGCTGTCCAGACCCGTCTGGAGGGCTGATGGGTTTCGCAGACCAGCTCCTCAGAGGGGCCCGAGGACGACGCCCACGGTGGAGGCTGACAGCAGACACCACACTGACTGGGGACGGTGGCCTCGGGCCTGGGGCAGCTCTCCCACGGTAGAGGGAGGCTGAGAGGCAGCCGGGATGAAATAGCCGCGCATCCCCAGGGCGGCACAAGGCTTGCTATCAGTGGCACGTCACCCATGACTTCACTCCAAGTCCCTGGCTCTCTCCACCATTCTCAGATGCTGCCATGAAAACAGGAAATGAGCTCACAGGGCTCACGTGATAATGGCCACCACCGAGATGGCTTATCCATTCCCGACCTGATTTGGAGAATCTGCTTGGTGTCGAGTCCTGAGGGAGGATGGGCAGGGAGGGAAGGGGTTTCATGCTGATGGGGATTTGGGGTTTTAGAATCAGACCTGGCTGGGTTGTGCTTGCCACCACAATGCCCTTGCTGTGTGGCCTCGGGCAGGTTGCCTGACATCCCTGTTCCCTGGTTTCTTCATCTGTTTAAAGGGGATTGTTCTGGAAGGTGCCTCGGGATTTCTGTGACTTGAACGACAGAACACGATGCTCTCCCTGCGTGCCTGCCATACAGCAAGTGGCCCGCAATGAAGCTTTTATATTGATCACTTTCTTGTCATAATGATTGCAGCTTCCTCTGCCACTTCCCCCAGAACACCCCACGGTCACCTGGTTATACGAGACCAGATTTCCAAAGAGCAAATTCAGCAAAGAGCAGTCGCCACTCCCATCGGGGAAGAGTCCTGCGTGGATCCCGGGGGACCCCTGAGCTGCAGGAGACAGGCAGCACCAGGCGGAGGGAGAAACTCACTGAAGGACACAGAGGACAGCCTCCCCACTGCTCCCTCTGCACTTGGGCCAGCGCAGCCCCCAGCCCACGTGGCAGGCCTGTGGGTGGTCAGGAGGCCCCTCTGTGGAGAGGGGACTTGCGGCCCAGAGACCTCAGTCCACACGTGGCCTCAGGCAGAGACATGGGGGCCTGTGGCTCTGGGTGCCTAAGCAGCCCGGGARGAACAGCTCTTGGGGCTGAGGAGGCACCAGTGCAGGGGCTTGGACCACCCACCGGCCTGCCACGTGCATGGGCCCCGAGAGCCATCTTAGCAGGGKGCTGGAGAGCCCAAATCGGTGGGGAGGGCTGCCACTAGGGTCTGGAGGACACTGGCCGAGAAGACCCTGCAGGGCCCTGTAGTTTGAGGTTCTGTGGAGCAACACCAAGTCCTTCACCAGGTGAAGGCACAGAGACTGCGAGGTGGGAACGAGTTTGGGACCTGGCCCTTTCTGGGCCCTGAGGCCAGCCCAGTAATGGTGGGCAGTATGGTAGCATCCTGGGGGCTTCATTCCCAGTGACCTAGGGTGAGGGGTGCCCTTTGCAGGCTGCAACCCACAGGGGAGCCCCCAGGGCCACGGCTCAAGGAAATCTGCCAAGTCTAGAGGGACTCGCACCCAATCCCCAGAGAGCCAGGGACCAGGACCCAGAAACAGCTGTCACTAGAAGGTGCCACCTTCATCTGAATTTCCCCTCAGCAGTTATATGTGGGAGAATTACAAAAAAAAAAAAAGGTTTTAGGAAAGCCGACCTTTGCTGTACTTTCGGGTCCACTTTTATTGGCTTCAGTGAATGTAAAGGAAGGCTTAGCGATGACACAATTTTCAACAACAAGCAATTTACTAGGTGGCAGCAAAGGGCACCCGAGAGAAAAGACAAATTGCCTGAAATAAATAAGAGCTGGGAAGGGAATTAGGTGGCGCGGAGCAAGGTGCCCTGAGGTAAGGCAACTGGTCAATGTAAAAGTCACCAGGGGCACCTTGCTGCAGCCGGAAGTCAGATAGGCAACTGGCAGTGTCCCCAGGATGCTCTGAGCCCCCCCCCCCATGCCAGGCACCTACTGTGCACCCCTCATCCTGCAAAAACTGCACTGAACAGAGAGCTTTAGTGGACAGGCCAGAGCAGAGCTGCACAATCTCACCCCAGTTCTCCTTGTGCTTGTGCATTTCCATCATTTCACAAGGGCGTGGGCCCAGGGCCTGGAGCTCAAGGTTTACAACTGCGCTTTCTGCCACTCAGTGACTGATGGGTGTTTCCTTTAGCATTCAGTATTTCTCTCTGTTTATCCTAAATCCCTATCTGAGTAAGAGATTTGATTATCTGGAGGTCGGGTCCCGGCTGGAAGGGGAAGGAAGCCCAAGTACAGGACCCGCAGCAGGCCTGCCATTCCTAAGCACCAGGAGCCAACTCCCAGGAAAGCTGTGTCACATTCTCAGTGCTAAGGATTTGCAGGTTGATTTTGACAGCTGAGGGACCCTCAGAGACTCTGGTCAGATCCACTGTTATCCAGTGGGGAAACTGAGGCTTCAGACCTTGACCCGTTGGCAAGCAATGGGGCCATCTAATATCCCTGTCTCGGTTTTCATCTTCTACTCCTGTCTGCCTCCTCATTGTTCCAGATAACCCCGAAAATAGCCAGAGTCATTTAAGGAAATGCCTGGAGGTGAGGCTTTGGGGAACTGCATTTTTTCCAGGATACAAAAGCTGCTCAGATTATCCAGTTATATTTAAATTGGCAAGTCTGAGGCRCCATCTCTCTCTACTCCCTCTTCAGCTTCAACCTAGCTGGATATTTTTCAGGGTGGTAATTATCATAGTAGACAGCAGATAGAGCAGGTTCCCTGTGGACTCAGAGCTGCATGGGCAGGTGTCTGCTCTGCCTGCAAATGGAGGCCCACCTGGCCCCAGACATCATTTCCACGCAGCCTCCACAGAGGGGAGGGGAGGTTTCAGGACTCCACTGGTGCGGGTGGACACGGGACGTTTCCTAACAGGCCGTCTCACTTCTACCCAAGCACCGAGCAGACTCTTCAGCAGGATCCTCCTCACATCCAGAGATGAGAATACTTGTTCAGATCTGCATATTCACACRTGCATACACGAGTATGTGCAGACAGACATATAGGATTTGCACACACACAAACATGTGTACACGCACATACCCAAACAAGCACACTTTCGGATTCTTCCCAGCAAGAATCAGTAATTCTTAAGTAGAAAAAACAAAAAAACACTGCTCTTGAGTAGGCAGAACAGCGGGAAAGCCTGAGTTGCAGGCCACACAGGCAGATTGATGGGCTCACTTACCTTCTCTTTTTTCTCCTCCTCTCTCCTTTTCTTCCTTCCTSTCTTCTGCACTTCCTTCCTCTGTCCATCTTGTGTCCACCTCCCATTCATCCAGCTCCCCTCTGCCCATCCCTGTTCTCAGGATTTACTGCAGCCTTCTCCCATTCACTCGGTTCATTCATGCATCCACTTGGTCAATCATTCAACAAACATTTACCGAGCTCCTTCTAAGTGTCTGGTGCTGCTCCAAGTCTAACTGCCTGGCACAGGGCACCTGGGCAGCACGGTTCAGCTGTCATATGCTCACTTCAAGGAAACTGAGCCCAGAGCCCAGAGATGCATCACCTTTATCTCAGGAACTGGACAGAGCAGCCACCACAGTGGCAGCCTTCCTAAGSCCCCTCTGCTCACCACACGCCCAACAGGAGAGATGAGTCCCTTGTCTTTGTCTGGGTTCCACCCAAACTGCTAGCAGTTTATTTGGAGGTGCTTGAGGGGCACAGGGCTGGGGATCAGGAGAGGAAAGAGCTGAGAGGATGCGTCATGAAGCCAGTTACACAGCAGGCCGTGCTCCTGGACCCTGCTGGGAAACACTGGGAAATGGGTCCAACATGGGCGTGGGGACGATCCCCCAAGGAAGGAAAGGTGGGGCTGGGAGGGTCTACACCAAGTTGTGGCTCAGGGATGCTCCAGGGAATGCCACCTCCCTGGCACCCTCTGCTTGTTGTGCACAGAGGCACAGCAGACTTCTGACATTCTAGAAAAATCCTTCAGGCTCCAGGATGCCAAAGCTGGTATCTTGAAGTCCACAGGAGCACACTGACATGGCAGGGTCCCTGGGAGGCAGGAAAGCAGCCCACGAGCACATGGTCAGAACTGGGCTCGAGAGGGTGGAAGAGGGAGAAGAGGAGCCTGACTGAGTCAGCTTTGGTGAGAAGGCAGGGTTGGGGTCCCGGTGTGGGGGGAGAAACCACCCTGAGTTTATACATTTAAAGAGCTAAGCAGGATGTCCAGCCACAGGGAGGCTGAGAGTGTCCAGCATTACCAGGCTGATGGGGACACTGGGCAGCCCCCTCCATGCACTTCCCCAAACTTCTCTTCTGTCCTACATGGAGACAGCCTTGGAGGAGCCTCTGTGGAATTTCTCTCTGTGGCAGTGTCTGCAGTCACATGTCTCTCTGTTCCTCTGCCCTGATTCATTCATATATTTATAACAGTGCAGCCCCACTCACTCCCAAGTGCATTTATGGATCCATTCTTTTGCTGGCTTTGCCCATCCTTTCCTGCTTAGCCTCCAGCTCCTTTACAAACACACGCCACCTGACACATTATTTAGGGACTCCTATAGAATAGCCATGGCCTGTCAAATGGAAAACCATGAATGTTCTCCACTGTCGAATGGATCACTGCCACCTGTGTGGTTCAAACAAGCCATCAGACCTTGGTGGAAGATGCAACTGAGAACAGGGTCAGAGAGGCCACCCCTGTGGGTGAGGGTCACACACAGGTCCAGCAAGTGGTACCACAAAGCAAGCAGGTGAGCCGTGGGTCCCACTTACCTGTGATTTCCTTGGTGCCTCCGTTGGTGTGCTTGAAGCGATCTCCTTCTACTCGGACACTGGGGCAGAGCACATCTGAGGGAAACGAGAGGGGACAGGGTGATGAGAAGCATGGCTCCCATCACCCTGTGATGTGTGACACCCAAAGGACCCCACCCCTCCAAAGCCCAAGCAGACACAGAGGCCACTGTCAGTCCACACTCCACTTGTGTCCTAGGGAAGCACCGCCCTGCAGGTGCCACGCTCGGCCAGGGTGAAGCATTAACAAGCATCACCCCATCTCCATCCAGCTCATGGCCTCGCAACTATGGGAAACCAGACACTGAGACCAAGACTAGGCCACAGGAGGGAATAGGTGATGGGTGGGGGTCCCACTGGGGGATTCAGGGCACAGGTGCACCCCCCCAACCCAGCCCAGAGGACAGAGGAGCTGTCCTGGAAAAGGTCCTCTGTAAGGAAGAACGGAAGACTAAGCTGGAAAGACAAAGGAACAAGTGAGACACAAAGGCAGGGACACGCACAGGGACTCCAAGTCAACCGGGAGACCGTGGATGGGACAGGACAGAAAGGTGTCCTTTCAGTCACCCAATGAAGCTTCAGGTACAATTCCAAGAGAAGGCAAATGCCAGAAGAATGAAAATCTCTCAGTTATACAAAAGTCATAAAAATAAAAAGAGTCACGATGCTACATTAACACCTCATCTTAAAGTCTTCATAAATCTTCACTTGAAAAAAAAAAAAAGGTTTTTTAAAATGAGCTCTTTGGATACTTCCACCTCTCCCAGGACAATCAGTAGCTCTGAGCTTCACTGGGTTGGGTCCAAGAGCTGGCTCCAGGACTGCTAGCCCACTGGCCTTTATGGACTCAGTGTGAGTATCTCAACAGGAGAGACCTTCAAATGCACACCTGCAGCACAGCTGCTTTGGGGACTGGTCAAGATCAACCCAGAACCTAGGGGAAGGAAGCAATCCCTCAGAYGGAGCACTTGAAGCAGCTCGCTGACCTCATGCAGACCCAGCCCCGCCCAGGAAGCAATCTGGCTATCACGTTATTATTTTAATTGCACATTAATGAACAGYTCATCATCCGATCAGTTCTCTGAGCAGTAACCACCTGTCCTGTTTGGGGCCATCAGTGTTTCAATGAGGGTCACTGAGGCTCCGTTAGCCCCACAGCAGTGCAGAACAAATAGGTCTCCCCTGATTTGGGAGGAGTTATTTTTAATGCTTATCCTTAAAGGCACCACCAGGTCTGACAAGCCCCATGGAAGGGTTATTTTGGAAACAGCACCAAGCTGCCTGTCTAGAACTAAATATGAGAGAAGACGCAGGCACTGGGCAATRTTTAGACAGCTCCACCCGGGACAGATGCAGCTGTGGGGTGACGACCAAGTGCTTTAACTTTGGCAGCCTGCCAAAGACAGGCGGGGGATTACATGTCTCTTGTGTGAGTTTAAGRTTTAAAAGGAGTTGACGTAGAAGGTTCCATCGTAGCTGTGAGTAAATTCCTGGAGGCTGGAGCTCAGGGTGGGCTGCACCACTGAGTCTTGTCTGCAAACATTCCACAGGAGGAGACCTGGCTCCCAGGTCCAGACTGCAAGGCCAAGTCGAAGGTCACAGACACAGGAGAAATGGCGTCTCCTCAAGAAAGGCAAAACTTGCCCAAACTGCTTTGAGGAATCAACTTCCGAACAACCGCAAATCCTTTTCCATACCATCACCAAACTTCGTATGTTCAGGAGGTTCCATGTGCATTTTTAGCGACTGGGTTAAGTTAGGCAAGGGGCTCCTGAATGCCCGCTCAGCCAGGCTCTCCGGAAATGCCAGGCTCTCGGGATTCACCTGCTTGGCACAGAGGTAGGCTAAGCCCCTTCGGCCACATTCCGGTTCTCTGTGGTCAGGTTACCTCCACACCTTGGCTACGACCCATGTGTTTCCACATTCGCTCTCACTCGTCTATTCAAACTGAAGTATGTACTCAAGTCCAGATGGACCCCAAGCTCTGATGTTCTAGGTACGTAAACACGGACAGTCCGTCATCCCTGATTCTGCCTCCAGATCACTCTGGAGTTAACTGCTGTGAATGGCTCCAAACACATGAAGGTCACAGAAAGTGCATGAGCTTGTGGCACCTTCTGTTCCCTTACTGGAGGTCCCTGCCCCTCCATCCTAGAGGCTCTGCTGGACCTTTGATGCCTGCAGGGCCCTGTGTCCATGCATCCAGCCTGGGGTCCCAGAGCTGAAGGCACCTTGTTGGAGGTGCTGTTTGGCCAGTTGGTCCCAGTTGGTGGGCCTCCACACCCCTCAGTTTGCACTGTGCCTCCACTGTCTTCACAGCATGAGGCCTGTGCAGGCCCCAGTTCTTGCTGAACCCAAGTGGCCAATGACCCTGAGCTAAGAAGTGGGTGCTGAACGGCCGACTGGAGGGCCTTCTGGGCACAGCATTCATCAATGTCTTAGTGAGCCAGTGAGAAGAAGGGCTTATGCCACAGAGGTGTAGCAGACGCCATTAACTGCAGCCTGACACCCACTGCCTGCTCCCRGCTGAAGAAACGCTGCCTTAGTTTAGAATGGCAGAGTTGTCTGCTCAGGAGGCAAGCTGTGTCTGGCTGGCCTAAGCCAATTTGGCTATTCCTTTCCTGTCTCTCCAGCTCTCCTGCAGCTGGGGAAGGACATGTGGCGGAGCTGCAGCCAAGGAAAGAAATTACACAAGTTTGCTGAGGTTGGAAGGAGAAGTGGGTAGACCATAAAGCACCTTGATTTCCTTGTCGTAGGGGATAGACAGGTGGATGGGTTGCAACTTTACTTTTCTACCTCCTCCTTCCAGTGGAGGACATGATCTCTGGGGGGCCTACCCAGGAGATTTGAGGAAGTAGGGGAACTCCAAATCCAGCAGCCCAAGCCTGGGTGAAAGCATGAAAACCAGAAACTCGTTCCTGTCCAAGTCACTGCCGTGAGCTTCTCTTCACCCGCAGGTGGGAGCGCCACAGACCGCAGGCCTTCCCTTCTCATGAGCAGCACTGATAAGTCAGGGTAAAGGACCCATTGGACAGCCAGCGTCCCTGTCTGGGTGCCTGAGGACAGCGGATGGGGTGCACACTGAGGCATCAGTGCCCTGGTAAAGGAGCCACTGGCAGACCAGGTTCCCTTCAGTGCCCCAGCAGAGACATTTCAGAAAAGGATTTATCAGATAATCATCCAGCATCAACAGAAGAAGCAGTTCCAGAACTAAAGATGGAGTTAAGTTCTCAAGAACAGAAAACGTGTTTGATTTTTTCCTGGTTGGTTGAWTTTCCTTTAGAGAAGGACTGATGCTCACAGAGTTCCTGTTCCCTTGGAGTTCATTTATTGTTTGCCTGTTGTCTAGGGGACATTTCCCGCAGTCTTTAGGTGGCTGGAATAAACACCCCAGACTTCAGGAGAGAAGCCACATGCAGGGGCTCCACTGCACCCACCAGGAGCTATGGGTCCATCAGGGCTGCCGCTCTAAGGGGAAACACCGGCATATACTTCAGTCTTTCTGGAAATGCACTTGAACTTGTAATCAGTTTACTCAATGGGAAACTGGGAGTGGATGTGTGCTTCATTATTGGGAGGGGAGGTGTGCACAAGCTGGTCTCTGGTGTCCTGGTGCTTTGTGTTGACACATCTATGGATTAATCTGCAGTATACGAAGCCCCCCCCGCCACTGACTGTCAGCCATAATCTTTCCATTTGGGAAAGCAGCTATTGAACACCCACTGTATACTGCTCACCTGGCCTGGAATTTAACCCACAACAATTATCCAACAAGGTAGATTTTGTTCCCTTAACACAGATATAGAAACTGATGCTTAACAGAAGTTAACAAACCCACCAAACAGCAGGAGTGACTGAATAAATGCCTACCTGAATCTGGAATCTAGGAGTACCGGTGGCAGAACCTAGGTAGGAGATCAGCGGGACCAGCAGAGGCCAGGGAAGGAGGCCTGGCAGCCCGCTGGGGCGGACAGGAAGCAATCACTGCTCATCCATGATCCAGTCACTGCTGAATGCAGCTGACCACAGAGAGACCATGACATTCCAAGAGAGCAGGGGAGAGGCATGAATCAGATGCCTGCAGACATTGACCCTGGGCCTCTGCTGCTCAGAGGCCCACAGGGATTCATCCAGACACCTCCACCTCAGAGAAGTGGCAGCCACTGAGCCAGGCACAGGGCCCTAGGGATCCTGCTAATAAGGCACAGTCCCAATGGCTCCTGGGACTGAGTGCCCATATTTCCAGGTATGCACTGGGCATGCTATGTAGTTTGACTCTGGGCCTCTCAACTGTTCTGCTGGGGGAAGTGGTTAAATCGGGACCAGCAGACACAAGAAGACAGCTTCTTACGCATTGGACGCTGCTGCAAGCATGTAAAACACATCAACACACTCAACAGTCCTCGCCACAGCTTTCTGGGATAGGTTCTACTATTTACAGATACGGAATGAAGGACATGAAGAAGTTAGTAACTTTCCCAAGGCCACTAAGCCAGGGAGTGCCTGATGGGCATCAAGCCTCTGGCATCAGGGTCTTGGTCTGAGGCAGCCTCTCCACAGACCTGCCCAGGTTCCTCCAGCCAACCGGGACTCCATCTGGTCTCCAAAGCCCRCACTGACAGATGGCCAGTCTGACACCTTCTGGAGCATCCCATTCTTTCTGCAGTTCTAACTCGCCGAAGGCTCTTCCTCATTCTGCACCATCGGATTCATTCACTTACACATGGGGAAGCAGAAGCTCAGAGAGATTAATTCCTCTGATATCACAGAGCCAGCAAATGGCAGAGGCAGAAACTGTGCCCAGGGATTCAGATGTAGAATTCAGATTCCCTCAGCCACAGTCCATACAATCTCAGCCTTGGAAAGCACCCTGGGAGTGCAAGGCAGGGCAGCTGCTACTGTCCATACCTTACAGGAGAATTATTAGCCTCTCTGCACATTATAAAGGTGGGTGGGGATGCTATTAACCAATCGCAGGGCCATAGTGCAGATCATGTGAGAAGAGGAACACAATGATGTTGACCTGGGGTCAGACGCTGGGTTCTTATCCCCAGTTC